GTGTGCGTGCGTGCGTGCGTGCGCGCGCGCACACACACACACACACACACAAACGTCCCCCTGCCTGCGACAGTGTGCACATCAGAGTCAAAGGAGTTGGTTTGGGAGTTGGTTCTCTCCCACCATGTGGTCAGGCTTGGTGGCAGAAACCTCTACCCATCTTGCCAGCCACTCTGATTCTTATAAAAACATTTTCTATGCCTTTTGCTTATTATCTATAGAGTTCGTATTGTAAAAGTTTATACCTTGGAATTCCCGCTGGTACCTTAGTATTTTTTTTTTACATCATTTTATCCCTTTTAACGCTTCCCAGCTATGCTCTCCCCAAATTGATAGCCTCTTTTATTTTAAATAATTGTTATATACATATGTTACATTTGTATATAACATATACAATATGTTATAACATATATACATATGTTACATTTATGCACAAATTTATGTAAACATCACATGCTCAGTCCATTTTGTGTGTATATGGTTTCAAGGCTGAACATTCTACACTGGAAAGGTAAGAGGCTCATCCCTGGGGGAGGCTAATTTTCCTTCTCCCAGAAGTCATTAGTTGCCTGTAGTTCTTTGTCTGTGAGTGAGACCCTGGGAAATGTTCCCCTTCCACAGTGACACGTGCATCGGTACTGCCTTGCTCAAGTCTTGTTTACGCAGTCATTTATATTGTGTCTTGGTCCTTGTTGAACTGTCTTGTCTTTGTGAGCAGATGCTGTCCTGTCCACCATCCTATTGCTAGATTTCCCATGGAGCTTATTTGTTGATTTTCATTGTCAGCATTGCAGGTTGGGTTTTCTTGTTTTGTTTTGGTGGTTTATTTATTTTTTGTACTGCCTTAGTTGATTCAGCTGTTTTGTGTTACCAGTAAGTTTATTCTTTAAACATACAATCATTCCTTTGACTTCTGTCTGGGATCTCATCTAACACTCCCACTAGATGCCAATATTGTATAACTAGTAATACTTTGACTTGTCTTGGTTTTTGTGTTTATTCTTCCATGTGTATATATATTTGTTATTCTAGTTTTTAATCATATATTATGTTCATGTAATGGATGTAAAACTTTATATCTTAAACTTGCATTTTTCTGGTTACTAATTAAGTTGGTAGTCTCTTTTTAAATTAAAATATAATTGATTCATCCCCCCCTTTCCTCCTTCCTTCTCCATCTCATGTCACCTTCCTCCTTTCACTTATAATGATGGCCTCTCTTTATTGTTATGCACACATACACATAACTATATAAATACAACCTGCTGAGTCTGTGTTACTTGTCTGATTTAAGGGCTCTCTACTTGGTACTGGATAACTAATTGGGCCCATTGGGCCCATTCCTGGAAAAGACTAATTGTCCTTCTCTCTGCAGTCATTGGTTGCCTGTAATTCTTTGTCTATAGGTAGGGCCCTGAGAGAATTTTTTCCCCTCCATGTTAGTATGTCTATTGTTGTCACTTCTGTAGGTCTTGTTGAAGCAGCCATGTTCTTGAGGTGTTATGGGTGTACCTTCCCTATCATTTCTAGGAAATGCAATCTCACAAAAGATTTCCCGGTCCTCTGGCCCTTATAATCTTTTCACCACTTCTTCCTTAAGCCCTCAGTGCATTTGGGTTGTAGATGTATCCACTGGGTCTGGGCATCTTACAATTAGATTATCTCCACATTTTGACCTGTTGTGGTTTTCTGTAATGATCTCCCATCTGCTGCAAAGAGGAGCTTTATATGTATAATATATGGGTGTGTATATCATATATATCCAATGTTTATTATATATAATGTATTTTATGTAACATACATGTATGTGTGTATGCTTTGCCTCCATATATATCCAGAAAAGGATGTCACATCCCAGGGTATTGGAGTTACAGACAGTTGAAGCACCACGTTGGGTTGAACTTAGTTCCTGTGGAAAGAGTAACCAGTGATTGAAATCATCTCCCCATTCCCCAAAAGCAGCTTCTTTGTTGAAGACAGAGTTACATTTATCTGTGGGTATCAGGTTAAGTTTTAGAATATAGGTAGGAATTATGCTTTCTAGTAAAGGGTCTCCTTCAAGATCCATGATGTAATAAGCTACAGGTAGTTGACAAGGTTTAACGTATCAGGCATGGTTTCCCTTCTGTTGAGTAGGCAGTTAAACAGCTATTGACCACCACAAGATATGAGTGCCAGTGACTACTGCACTTTTAGAGGTGTCTAGTCCATTGTGGTTCACAGAGAGGTAGAGCTGCTGATCGTTTTCCTCCCTTGGCAGCTTTCAAAGCAGTCTGTGTCCTAGGTGTGTGGTGCCTTCAGCAACCAACAGGGGCTTACCTTTAACCTCCTAGAGGCCACATCAATAGCCTATATTATGGGGCCGGAGAGATGGCTCAGCGGTTAAGAGCACTGACTGTTCTTCCAAGAGGTCCTGAGTTCAATTCCCAGCAACCACATGGTGACTCACAACCACCTAGAATGAGATCTGATGCCCTCTGCTGGCATGCAGGAAGAAGACATAGTAAATAAATGATAAAAAAAAAAAATCTTAAAAAAAAAAAAAAAGCCTATATTGTTAAGACTCTTGTCTGACCCTAAATAACTACTCAAAGGGAGGTTTCTCATGCCTGCTACTGGAGTTCTACTAGTCCATGGCTCTTGTGGGAAACATTGTCAGCCAAAGTCACATAACTTCATCTAAGCTATATTTATAATATTCATTTATATGTATTTGTCATGTTAGGTAAATATTAAAAATAGGATAATTCCTTAAGGCTTTTTGCAAACATCCTAATGCTAAGGACATATTAGCTAGCTGCATAAGGGAAGAGGTTTTTTGTCACTGGTAACTGAATACCGTGCTTCATACCTACTAGGCAAGTGCTCTACCAAGGAGTCACATCTCTAGCCCGAGGCATGATAAAAATGGTGAATTTCATAAATGCCAGGTTCACTGTTTCTCTTTCTTTTCAGCTCACCTGAAGAAATCTCTGCGTGTGCTCAAGTAACTCATCAAAAGGCTGAGGAGATCTACAGATATATTCACTATACATTTGACATACAAATGCTACCAAGTGATCTGAATCAGGAGAGTCTAAAATCTGATGCATGCTCAGCACTTAAAGTATGATTATGAAAGAACTCTCACTATACTAATATACTTAATAATCATTGTAGTTTGTAATTACCAGTATAAATATGTAAATATTCCATGTGGTAAAGGTATCTTTATATATTATATACTTTTTTATTTATAGACTATAATTTATTTTTAAAAGGAAATCTTTGGTGTTCCATAATCATTTTGACCAAACTGTGAAACAACTTTTTATTGAATAAATCAAGGCCGTGTGAAGTGTTGTTCATACTGGCTTAAACATCTAAGAAAACAAGCTAAGGGACTGGGAGATGATCAGCTGCCTAAGTTCTTGCTGCACAAACCTAAGGACCTGATAACCTGAGTTCATCCCCAACACCCATGTAAAGACCAGATACACGGGTGCACACCTGGAGTCATAGGGCTAGGGAATTTAGAGACTGGAGGATAATGGGAGCTTGCTAACTAGTATGGCAGAATTGGTGAGCTCCAGGTTCAGTGGAAGACTCTGTCTCATAAATAAGGTGAAGAATAATAAATGCGCAGTGGTGGCACATGCCTTTAATCCCAGCACTGTGGAGGCAGATGCAGGTGGATCCTGGTCTACAGAGTGAGTTCCAGGACAGTTATGGCTACACAGAAAAACCCTGTCAAGAAAAAGGAAAAACAAACAAAAAACTGCAGTAACAAAAAATATCTCATGTCGATTTCTGGCCACCACATACATATATGCTTGCCTGTGTGTATACATCTGCATATATACACCTATGATGAGCATGATGACTCTGGTGATACACACCTAGAATATCAGCATGCTATTATCACTATGAATAACTATAAATAATACATAGCCAGTAATGGTCAGGATATGTTTAATAAGTAAATGCCAACCAACAGGAAACCAGAGCAAGCCGAAACAGTAGACAAAAGAGAGCCATGTGCCTTGGCTACCCCCACCCCCTGGGGGGTGTGCACACACACACACACACACACACACACACACACACACACTCACACATCCAGCCCTTAAGAGGCGTGGTTACCGTGTCTCCCTACATGCTATAACCCAAGGCAGTAGGTACTTGAGTAACTTGTACTGCATATGAATTGTAATACTCAACATTTTAAGTATCAGCACCCCTACCAGGTGGCTCACAAATTCGTAATTCCAGCTGTGGCACATCCAATTTCTCTGGCCTCCTTTGCAATGCACTCATACATACACATACAAACACACCAACACACACACACACTAAAAATAAATGTGTTAAATCTAAATATGTATACCAGTAAAATGTGGTATGTTGTAAAACAAATGATTGAAGATCAAATATTTAGTCAACTATATAACTTCCACCAAATGTATCCAAGTACAGTACAGTGTTTTAACATGAACTTGGAGGGGTTGAGACAGGGTTTCTCTGTGGCCTAGGTCTTGTAGACCAGGCTGGTCTTGAGCTCAGAGATCCACCTGCCTCTGCCTCCCGAGTGCTCGGATTAAAGATGTGCACCACCACTGCCTGGTTTAAAATGAGCTTTAACTCATTGTCTTATGCTATAAATATTTTAAGATGGGTCTGTTTCTATCTGTAATGTGAGACTTCTGTCCGTGGCTTTCCTCGCCTCCATTCTTTCTCCTATTGAGTAGTTGAATCAGTCACAAGACAGCTTCCCTAACCTTATACATGACAGGACTTCAGATGCATCTAATTCAGCATGCATTTTGTTTCCTATCAGAATTATAAAAATGAGGTCTTGAAACAAGTAGCTTGTTCATGTTTACACTGGCAAATTCAGAAACAAAACTCAGGAAGAAACTTTTTACAAAAAGTTACTTAATTCTGAATTTCAATCATCTGAAATAATTTTAAAACCCGATCTCTTAAACTACCACTCACTCACCTCTTACTTGCTGTTCAAAATTACATTAAAACCAGAAAGTATTCAAAACTATTGGCCACCATGCAATTAGCAATTACTTCAAATCCAAATCCACACACTGATTATTCAGTATAGGCTTAAAAAAATTGCTAGCTGTAAAGCAAGTTTAGTGGCCTTCTAAAACACTACCTACTAACCTCAACCAGCAAAGCATCACGTTAGAGATTGACAGCTTAAATTCTGTTCTGTTTAGGGGGACTCTAAAAGATCCCTTCTTTTGTTCTACTAATACCGCTGTTTATTGCTGGCCATTTAGGGGAGGAGTACTACTGGGGATGGAACCTGGCACTTTCTGCCCCCTAACCACTATGCCCAGCCTCCTCCTACCACTTAAGAACTTCCTATTTTTTGTTTTGAAAACATCTTTTATTAGTTTTTCTTTCTAATTGACTGCAGGTTTCTGTGGCAGCCAGAAGTGGGTTTTCTATCTCCTAGAGCTGGATGGAATATCAGGTAGTTATGTATTGTCTAACATAGGTACAGAGCACCAAATTCATGTCCTCAACAAGAGCAGCCAGTACTCTTTTAACTGCTGAGCCATCTCTTGACCCCCTTAATTTTGTTTGAGACAAGGTCTTAGTAAAATGTCTAGGCTGGTCTCATACAAGTTCCTTCCACCTCTGTTTCCCAAGTAGCTGAAACATGACTGAAACACAGGGCTAGCAACTAGCTTAATACAAAAGCCTGCTCTACATATTGAGTTCTAGGGCAGCCAGGATACACAGGGAGACCCTGCCTTGGTGAGAAGAGAGACCAAAAGAAAGAGAGGGGGAATGAATGAATGATTTTGTACTCTGTTCTAGTGTGTTTTGGGGAAACTTAAGAGGGAACAGTAACTGTAAGGCCCTCCAGGATCAAGAGTGGCAAGGCCCCAACCCTGAGGACCTCCGAAAGACATGTTCCACCCACACAATACTCTAAAGGCTATGGCCCAGTCCCTCCAGATACAGGCAACCAAGCTCCACTCTGCAGAGTAAAAAGCCCAAGCTCAAGACTTTAAATCCCACCAATTCCACACTCTGAAAATCTCCACCCCCAAGAAATCCTACATAAACCCTTTCTTCTGCTAAGTTCTCTGCTGCTTGCCCAAGCAGAGGCAGCCACCTTTTCTTGCAGGTGACCCTGTTTGGACACCCCTTGGGGTAGGGGGCGAGAAGACGAAGTACCAGACACGGGTACTGGGAGTGGGTAACAGAATGCTGTTAGGCCTGCCTTTATACCCCTCCCATTGGCTCAGGCAGCTGACTCTACTGCCTTGTCCTTTTCTCACTGGTGCCTCCGGTCAGGTGTCTCTTCCTCAGCAATCTCTGGGCCTAGAGGCAGGCTTGGCTCAGGGAGGAAGTGCCTGCCATGCATGCTCATGCAGGCTGGCCTGGGCACCTGAAGCTTGAGTAGACTGGCCGGCAGTTTCTCCTACAACCTTCCCGAGTTTTTCCTCCCAACAAATATGAGGTTTGTTGTACGGTGTGACTTTGTGGTACTGCTTGGCTCCATTCTGCCAGATTACCTTTCTGTCCAAGCTTTAACACATGCATTGGGAAAACCTTCCTCCTCAGAGCTTTAACACTTAGGATAACAAAATGCATTCTTTTCCTGATGAAATTTAAAAAAAAACTCTAGAAACATACTACACAAATTTAACATTTTATTTGAACAGTCTGAGCACAAAGGATAAATGAATATATAGTGTAACCTGAGGACAAATAACTTATTTCAAGCTTCTAAAGGCGCTATTGGAAAGGGAAAACCTGGTTATTATGACCTAGTAATTCCTTATAACGGTGGATCTATCAACTATACATGACACGGCTCAAGAATACAACAGAAGCTGTCCTCTGGTACCCTTCACAAAGTAATAAAGAGTAATGAATTAGAGATAGAGGTTTCACAAACAGACCAACTTATGGTAAATTTTAAGAAAAACTATTAGAAGAAAACATATAGAACATAAAAAAAAAACAATTTGAATAACATAATTTAAATAGTCAACGAACTCTGGCTTATACCAGGTGGCAAGATACTACAAGTTTTCATTCAAGTATCCACCAATCCAAGCTCTTTAACTCCAGCCCCCTCTCTCCTGACTTCTATGTTTTTAAAAAGGTATTTAAAAACCTATTTGAGACATGATTACTAAAGTACACAGACTTGGGTGTTCAAGAAACTTAAGCTTTACATACTTTCCTATTACAAAAATAAAATAAATACATACATAGGCAAAGAAGTTTTACTTGTGTTTTATTGCAACACTAAGGAATATTCTATAGGATGTTAACCTTGCACACAAATATAAGACATCTTTGGGAAACAAATCTGCATTCCCTTATTACAAGGACAATACCCATTCTTCAAATGACAATACAAGTATGCTCTGCTTGATGGTAAAAGTCCTACTATCAATCAGAATTTGAAAAGTAATAATCTTTCTCTTCTTCATCTGATTCTATGGCATCAACGAAATACTTTGAAATAGCAGTGTTATCACCTAAATCTGTAAAGACAAATTTTATGAAACAGATTAATATATTACTGGTAATTTTAATAGAACTGAAAGCAACTCCAATGAACTAAATGGTAAGTGTGTCTACTTGAGAACCAGTTAATTTTAACACCATCAAATAGAGATCCTATTGTAATAGAAATAAGGTACAAAATAAAGAAATGCAATACCTTTGTTAAACAGGGCTTTTCGTATTGGTGTTGGAGATGACAAATCATTTTCAACCTACAAAAGAGGGTGTGTTAGTAGCAAAATTGTATCTCTTGTGATAAGGGAGTTGACTAGACAGTACAGTCCTACATAAAATCATAAAATCAAGTATGCTTAATCCCCAGAGGACTGTAAACATAGGCCTATTATATCACTTTCAGTCACTAAAGCAACCACATTCTTGAGTTTATGCAGAACAAAATCCATAACTTAGTTTCTCACCGTTGGCAAATATTTATACATGTAAGAAAATAAAAACTATTAAAAAAAGAAAGAAAATATAAACTAATGCTACAGAAGGCAAAGAATCGTCTATAGCCTATAAAAGTTGCCTCAATGTACTCAGTACTTATCTTGAATAGAATGTATTATTATCCCTGTGAGATTATATAAGACATCATTTACTTCTCATAACCACTCAGTAGCAGGCCATTTTCATTATCTAAATATGCATAAATTAGAAAAGTCTAGTCACTTCCTTAGTGTAATGAGGCCACTGATAATTAGACCTTGAAATGAGTACTTTGAACACAAAATTCTTGGCTTTTCCTACACTAACACACTGGCTACAAATACCAGACTATGAAAAGAATTAGGTAAATCACAATTTTATAAACTGCTTAATTTGAACACATTAAGAAAAACAATCAAATAGGCACAATGGTAGGTGCCTTTAATCCCAACACTTGGGTTGCAGAGGCAGGCAAGAGTTCTCTGAGTGTGAGGCCACTAGACTTACAAAGGGAGTTCCTGGACAGCCAGGGCTACACAGAGCTATGTAGTCCTACCATGTCTCAAAACAATAACAGCAAAAAAAACAAAAAAGGAAAGAGAAAGAAAAATGCAGTTTCTTTCTTTTTTGGGGAGTGGGGTGGGGTTTCGAGACAGGGTTTCTCTGTGTAGCTTTGGAGCCTATCCTTGCTCTGGAGACCAGGCTGACCTCGAACTCACAGAGATCAGCCTGCCTCTGCCTCCCGAGTGCTGGTATTAAAGTCGTGCGCCACCAACGCCCGGCTGAAAAATGCATTTCTAATAGGAAAGACCCAACGATATATCAGAATTTACCTCTCCTCATTTAGTAGAGAAAACAATCAAGTGTATTAGTTTGCTATCCATGCTGATCCATGCTCCATAGATCAACAGAAAGGACATCACCTGGGATTATTAAAAACAAATTTCTCAAGCCTACTGCATCAGAATCTTAACAGGATCCTTAAGAGACTCCTAAGAATATTTAAATTAAGGAGACACTTACTTAGGGTACTTTATGAACAAAAACAAAACAAAACAAAAAAAACAGAAACAGACTAGAAGTCTAATCTTTGGGTTCCTATTTCAAGGCTTCCTAACAATGTTAATTTCAGGGCATTTTGCAAGAAATTTCCATTCTCATTAAGGAATATGGAGCTGGAAAAATCAAGTATCTGAAGATTACTGAGAAGCAGTCTGCTTAGTTCACTTATGAAATAGATTTCTTTTAAAGAAATGAGCCACTAGATGAATTTTAAACCAAGGTCTACCATGAAGCATTATTTACTATTTCTTGTGGCTAAGCCCATGAAGACAGATATGATTATATAACCCAATCTAAGAGGAGTTTTACTTAAGTAAATCTGGAGTATAAAGACTTTAAAGAGAGGAAGAGATGGCCATATCTAGCCTGAAGAATTACTTTACTAAATGAGTAATCTCACAGTTCATCTATGTAAATTATTCTTCAAAATTAGCTACTTTAAAAAAAAAAGTAGGTAAATTACCTTTTCTAGAATCTAAATACTTGGTTATCTATTACAAAAACATTCAGAAATTTAAATTAAAAAATTTGAAATTAAAAATTTTAAAGGCAATACAAAGAGATAAGAGGGTAGAAAAAAGATCCCAAATTTGAGAAAAGAAGGGTATAACAGAAGGTTTGGAGGAAAGAAAGGAGAGGGGGAAATGATATAATTACATTATAATCTAAAAAAAATAAAAGTTTTTTAAAAAGACTTGTTTTTTTGAGACCACAGACTCCTGACTGCTACTCCTGATCCTCTAGCTTCCACCTCCCAAGGGCTGGGATTGTAGGTCTGCACCAGCAGTCCCAGGTAAGGTGTGTACTTTTGAAATAGTACTGGAGATTGGACCCTCTGCCTATGGGCATACTAGACAAATGTTCTACTACTGAATCATGCTTCCAGATACAATAGAAGAGGTTTCTTTTGTCCAGGGTATAATTCGCTATTAAGGCAACCTTCAAATAAAGTTATTCTGTGTTTGAATTTTAAATACTGGAATGTTAAAACAAAAATTGAGTCATTAAATCTAAAAGACTCTCGACCTGTTTCAAAGCTGTAAGAGATTATATGAAATTCTTATTTTATAAAGGCCATAAATCAGTAAGTCTGGAAAAAGTTGCTGAATAGATAGAATAGTTTTTATATTGCTTAAAATGTCCTTTCTGGACTGGTTATTTTCCAATTAGTTTCCAAATGAATTTTTAGCCCTTCTTATCTTGGTTCAATAGATTCAGTCTAGGAGCTGTCATCTATAATTCTAAAGTGCTTATGTATTTACTTCACTAACAACTTCATATCAGAGGGCAGAGACTGTTAGACAATTTCTAACTACCAGAGTTTAACACGCATTTATAACTTTTCTACATAAAAGTGTTGAACAAATAAAAACATACTTACTGTTTTTTTCCTAATGTTGCCCCAGGCAAGGCCTCCTTTACGCCTGCCAAATTTTTTAGCATTTTTTTGCATATGGAAAACATATTTATCATAATCATCACTGTATAAACACAAAATAATATCAAGATGTCAAGTCAGCATTATTATAACTTTATCCATATGTTGAATAGCAATTAATAAAAATCTAAAATTTACTTATATTCTCTCAAAAGAATATTCTAGGAAATTACTATTTGCTTATTGGTCACTATCCCATTGTGGTGGTTTGAATAAGAAGGGAGTGGTGTTACATGAGAAGGATTAGGAGGGATGGCCTTGTTGGAGGAAGTATGCTACTGGGTGTAGGTTTTGAGGTTTCAAAAGCCTAAGCCAGTCCCATTGTATTTATTTCCCTGCTGCCTGCAGACCCAGATGTAGAACTCTCAGCTGCTTCTACAGCGTTATGCCTGTCAGCATGCTCCCACCATGATGTTAATGGACGAAATCTCCGGAACTGTAAGCAAGTCCCAGTTAAAGCCTTTCTTTTATAAGAGTTGTTCTAATCATGGAGTCTCTTCATAGCAACTAAACAGCAACAAAGACATCCATATAGGTTTATTCCTAAAACTCTTGACTTTCTGTCTTTGGCATTTCCCATTCACTTTCATTAATCTAAGTCAGATATCACAGTTGATCACTTCCAGGCTATGATGTACAAAAACTATCAATTTACATCTTTCAGTTATATCAAGTTTCCAATCCAACTTAGCAAGTCTTTTTCTTTCTAGATAATTGTGTTGCTTGTGTTCTCTATACTCACTGTGCAGAGTCTAGTTTAGCAAAGATGACTGGTCTGTAATCTACATACAAAAGCTGAAATCAAACAGATGGTTATTTGCATCCTCTCCCTTGGCATCAAGATCTTATATGTATAATCTATTAGGTTTTTTCCTTATTGATGATTTTGGAGCAGCTTCAAAAATATGACATGTAAGATATATATCTTAATCACAAGCATTGCTGTGCAAATGAATAAACCAACCAGCTGCTAATATACTGCTTGGTGAATGACAGGTCTACACAGATTAATACCCTACAATAGACCTATAGTTCTACTTTCCAAATGATTGTTTTGTACAACAAAAGTTAAGTTTTTCACTTTAAAAGTTTTAAAATTGTCATAAAAAGCAACCATATACAAACTACGCCCCCTTTCAAATTTTGAGACAGTGTCTTACTATGTAGCCCTGATGTCCTCAAACTCTGATCTGTCTATCTAACTTCCAAGGGCTGGGGTCAAAGGCATGTACCACCATACTCAGCAAGCTAACTTCTAGCAGCCTTGAACAATGAAACACTTAAGTAGGATTCTGGGTCAAAGTTCAGTTATATTAATAGTTACCAACAAATGCAGCTGCACAGATATTGATGTGTATTTTTTCATTAATATGCCATGAAAAAGGTTACTGATTGTTAATTAGCAGTAATGCTAAATATATTTGAGAAATGAACATTTTTTTATTGTTACATTCTTTTTAAAAGATTTTGTAGTATTAAGTTTTAATCATGTGTGCATGTGGAAGCAGGAGGGTTATACACAGCAGTTCCTTGCTCATGGAGGCCAGAAGACATAGTCAGAACACCTGGAGCTGGAGTAAATAAATTAGTTGAGAACTGCCTGACCTGAGTGCTAGGAACCTAATAAAGGTTCTCTGCAAGAACACTAAGTTCTCTTTACCATTGAGCCATTTCTACAGACCAAGTATAACATTCTTCTCTGTTTTTATATTGTTTACAGTGATTGGTAGCAGGTAAAACATAAAATTATTAATCTTTTCATTAGTGATTTCTGAATTTTGTATTTTTGTTACAAACACTATTAACCTGACAGTATAATACCACACAGCTTCACTAGTTTTTTTTTTTATATATTTTAAATTTTTCAAGTAAAATTATTCTAATATTATGTACTGATTATATCCTTTAATTAATTTACTGAAACTATCCATCCTAAACTTTTAGAAGTACCTATTTTTCATTTTTTAAAAGATGATAACTCTTCCTCCTTGGTGCATTTATGTTTATCAATTCACAAAATATTTCAATGTTCTTGAATAAATGAAAAATTAACATCACATTCATATTTACCTTTTTACAGAGGCTAGCATACCAGGACTGACATGCTGACACTGTGGAGTGTCTGTCAATGGCAAAGTAATTGATAATGGAGATACTGGATTCCTGTCCATATCTAGCAGAAAATCATCATCTTGACTGTATTGAAAGCTCGGCAACTAGAAAAAAAATATTTCCAGCATGCACACTCAAAATTTTCTCATTACAAAATAATTTTGTGGATTTAAAAAACATAGACTACAAAGTCAAATTTCTCTTGTGGAAAACACAGCCTATTTCTAAAGGCTATGGAGAGCAGAGGTAGTCAACTATTTTCTAAACATCATTCAAGCTTTTAGGCTTTATAATTAACATAGTCTTTCCCAATTCCTCAAGCTTTTTATTGAAGTATGAAAGCTATAATATGAAAATAAATGAGTAGGGTTGTGTTCCAATAAAAGTTTGTTTATAAAGACAGGTAAAAGGACTAACAAGATGGCCCAGCCAGTAAAGGTCCTTTTGAAGCCAAATGACCTGAGTTTAATCCCTGGACTTATGTAAAGTTAAAGTCAGAGCCTAGGGCCTGGCACGTGTAACAACAAAGCAACATCCTTAGTCCCATATGTTAGCTTTAGATCCTGCAATTATACTTAATTTCTTTAGTTTTGAGGAGTCTTTCTACATATAAGATCAATTTTATAGCACTCATCCCATCTAACCTTATATACATTCTTCATGAGATTAAGCAGACTAATTATATTTTACAGACCTCAAAGCACAAAACAATTCATTTGTTATATGGGAGATTTTTCAACTGCCACAGCTGCACCACTTGTCTCCTGTAGTGCGGGGCCCTGTCTGGGTTCTGAAGCAACACTTGCAGTGCCGGGGCTAGTTGTTTAGCATGGCTGAGCCCCTGTTCTATAACAGTACACTGATATCTGTGAGGACCCAGAGATGGAGATTGAAAGGTCTCTATCCCCTAGAGCTGTGTGAATTCCAATTGCTCTCTAAATGTTCAGTTTCTAAGTCTAAGCTTTCAAAGTGCAGCTGTCTACCCTGTTGCTTTACTTATTCTTTGTGACAGTAAATGAGTATCATCTATCTTGTAATGTCCTTGGCCCATCTCTTCATTTTGGATTAAATACTCAAGAGCAGACCCTAGAAACTGGTAAGGACAGCATATATCAGCAGATCTCTTCCTATACTTTGTTCATGTATGTAAAGACTACACAGATCCTTGACTTAAATATTAGTGGTAAGTATTTAACAATATATAAAAGTGGAAAACATCAAAATCAGTATAAAATGCAGATTTGGGGGCTGGAGAGATGGCTCAGCGGTTAAGAGCACTGACTGCTCTTCCAGAGGTCCTGAGTTCAATTCCCAGCAACCACATGGTGGCTCATAACCATCCGTTATAAGATCTGGTGCCCTCTTCTGGTGTGCAGATATACATGGAAGCAGAATGTTGTATACATAATAAATAAATAAAATCTTTTAAAAATTAGTTATTAAAAAATGCAGATTTGATGCATTCAGCACTTACCAGTATTCTTTGTTTCTGCAAGGGTGTTGCAGTGAAAAAATCATCATGGTTATCTTTTGGCAACTGCTCCAGACAATCCCTCACTTGTCGTTTCCTTTTAAGAGTTCCCACTCTAGCAGTGATCTTAATAGTCTTTTTCTCATCAGCACTGTCTTTCTCACCTAAGAGTTAATGAAACATTTTGATAATGATCTGGTAATTTTACCTGCTTTATAAAATAGAAGTATCTCTTATCCTGTTTCCTACAGAACAAGTAATTTTTAAATACATTTTAAAATATTTATTTTATTTTATGTGTATGTGTTCTTTGCCTACATGTGAGTATGTGTACCACATGCATACTTAGCGCCTGTGAAGGTCAGAGGAGAGCACTGGACCCTCTGGAACTGGCATTATGGATGGTATAAGGCACCATGTGAGTTGCTGAGATCCAAACTCAAGCCCTCTGCAAAAATAACAAGTACTCTTAACCTCCGGGCCATCTTTCCAGCCCCACTCTCACTGTTTAAAAAAGTGTTGTTTTAAGAATGATTTAATTCCCATGTATTTCCTTATACAGACTAAGGGTGGGCCTGCAAAATGACTGCATAGGTAAAGGTAGCTTCCTCCAAGCCTGACAACCTGAGTTCAATCCATGGGACCTGCATGGTGGAAGAGAACCAACTCCCTAAAGTTGTCTCTAACCTCCATGCTCATGTCTTGGCACACGCACACCAACAAGCATGCAAGCATACACATGCACATATACACATATAAACAAATTTGTAAAAAAATCAAATTAAGGGGCTGGAGAGCTGGCTCAGAGGTTAAGAGCATTGGCTGCTCTTCCAGAGGTCCTGAGTTCAATTCCCAGCACACACATGGTGGCTCACAACCATTTGTAATGATATCTAGTGCCCTCTTCTGGCCTGCAGGGACACATGCAGTCAGAATACTGTATACATAACAAATAAATAAATCTTAAAATATTAAAACAAAAAAAAGGTAGGAGTCAGTCTCCCATCTAAAACTTTTATTCCTGAAGCCAAACCCCTAACAAAGCTCAGTAGGCACAGCTTAGACACAACAACAACAACAAAGTGTGGTGGCCTTAGAAACATGGCACCTTGATACTTGGGAGGCTCTCTTGAGTTCAGTTTGGACAACAAACCAAGACCTTTGCCCCTCCAACAAATAAATTAAATATCACAAGGTGCTCTGTGTGTGTGTGTGTGTGTGTGTGTGTGTGTGTGTGTGTGTATCTCAGGTTGTTGACCTCTTTAATTATTGCTGGGTACAGGAAGATAAAAAAGCTCTTGGTCACATATTGGCTGTGGCTGATAATGAAGACATCACAAATAATTCTTCTTATATTGAGATGAATGCTGTTATTAGTTCATGTGATACTCTTAGGAAGTCCACAAAGACTAGAGAGTAGGTTAAAAATGTTAGGAGCCAAAGAGATCTACATAGTGTGTTCCAGAATAGTCAGGGTGGTGGTGATAGCTGGGTAGTGGTGGCGCACACTTTTACTCCCAGCACCGGAGGAGCCAGAGTCTCATGGATCTGTGAGTTTGAGGCCAGTCTGGTCTACAGAGTGAGTTCCAGGATTGCCAAGGCTAGACAGGGAAACACTGCCTCAGAAAAAAACAAAACAAAAACAACCCATACCCAATAAAGTTACTCTGTGAGATCAACTTGCTTTATTAGTCGATATTATGCAAGGACATTAGGTACTCTCTAAAGCTTACAATGGGGACTTCGAGCCAGGAGTGAATCTTAGATTACAAAAACAAAATTTGCTATTTTTTCATAAAGTATGACAGGGACTGTAAGCAAATGCTCAAGTTAAATTATACTCCCAGATACTGAATTATTTATCCAACTTCAAACTTACTAGAACAAATTCTGAGCAAAAGGCTACTAAATTATTATTGGTAGAGTTAACTACATTGGTTAAGGCTTAAAATATTATCTTTCAAGTTCTTTCTAGATTTTAAAATTCGAAAGAAACAATTGATACAAGATTCACAAATGTAAAATATAATTGGTAAGCATTTAGAAATATACACTATAAACACTCTGAGAAAATAATGATAAAAGTTACCATTTTGGACCTTGAAATTGGCTTGCTTTTTCTTTGAGACATGTTTTTGGGATCTTTTGCCTTGGGGTTCTTCTATGTATTTCCTCTGGCATTCCTCAGCAGTTCGAGAACCTACTGCCATAGCTACATCTGACCAAAAACCAGGCTTGTGCTTTGGAAGAGACGTAAAAGCACTATGGGAGACCAAAACCAGTTAAGGGAAAAAAAAAAATTCAAGTCAATAAAAACAATCTCCTGAGAGCACAGTGAGTCAGTGATATTTACCAAGTTGGAGAACAACTAGTCAGAAAATGATACCAATCTCTCTCTGTTCCATAACTTTCTTATTATAATGTAAATACAACATGAAGAAGACATAACTGTACATGTCTAGCAAAATGCTTGCAAACTGTTTCTATTAAATATGAAAGCTTTTCTAATCTTTCAACATTTCTCCCCTGAAATTCAACTATTCAATGATTTGATCTTTGAGGGAATTCTGGCATAAATTAACTTCTATATATTGTTTACCAAGTGTTACTAGTGCTAAGTCTGCCAGATGAACTCCTAGTTCTTACATAGTTTATGGTTAGGGGTGAATGGTCATGGTCATACATGATCAATGCATGACAAGGGCTTACATGGAAATATCACACATTAATACATACAACTGATGTTTTAATACTACTATTAATAAAAATGAAGCTGGAACACCTGTAATCCCAGCAGCACTAGGGAAAAGTGAGGCAAGACAATCAAAAGTTTAAGGAAAGTAATACTATGTCTCAAAAACAAGACATAAATACAAGGTAGTTCCAATTCATCCTATAAATGAAACTCTGAAAGTTCATTTGCAAATAACTGTTTAAAGCCTACCCTACTATTCCTACCTCCCTACACTCTCATTAAGACTATGTTGTGGTTAAGGTGAGGCAGTTCAGCCAGATGGTAATTAATTCAGTCAATTACCCTAAAATGGTACAGGGTTAATACTCCTTACCTCAGATACTTAAGACACACTGTTTCATATTTGAGATTCATATACAATAACTTGGATGGGATTTAGTCAGAACATGAAATTAATTCATGTTCATATATATCTTCTACAAACCGATCACAGGTGCTTATAGTTTTGTTTTGTTGACAGCTGGGAAGCATTCTACCATTAAGCCATATCAACCTCTAGAAGATAATTTCATATAGTCATTTTTAATGTGTCTTATGTTCTACTGTGATTCATCATCATAGGAGGTTAAGCATAGTATTTTCCACTAGTGTTATTTGTTGGCACAAAGAATCTAAGATTTTGGAGCTTTAAGATTAGGGATAATTAGCTAATATAATATTATTCCAACTTTAATCAAATTTCCTAGTAGTGTATAAAGCTATTGACAAATCTAGGACTGTTTATATTCTAAATGAACTATTTTTCATTAAAGAATAATTCTTAATGCATTTAAAAGTCAGTAATTATCAATTACTTCCAGGTTATTCCAGGTAAAGTAATAAAGCAAATTTAATATGTAATCAAAGCTGAATAAAACCCTTGCTACAACTCATGGCGATCCCCTGACTGACATTAGTCTGCCACATTCGCACTCTTTCTTCAACTTTAGTATTCCATTCATTCTAGCCTTTTGGTCAAAATTTCTAAATATGTTCTCTTCTTTCTAAATGCCCTTTCTTCAATCTTTGGCTCACTTTTATCTTTTGCCTCTTAGTTCACCTACTCATCTAAACTAGGTCAAACTACCTTTATAGTCTCATCAACACATATTCTCATAAACTTGTTACAGTAACTACTATATATGCTAAACATCTATCTTCTAGGTTATAAACACAATAAGAAATACAAAGCAATGAGCTGATTATTAAGAACTACTTGAAGATTTCAATTCACAAAGTCAGACAGGGAAGTAACTGCATTTTCCAGATGCTCATCAATCACTGGGGAAGACTAGAATAGGTTTTGGTGTGGTGCCACAAGGGGACTGGATTACAGACAAGGAAGAAAAGCAAAAGAACTGAGAATTAGAAAGGACAAACAAAATTTGCCTGAGGGCCCATTTCTTGATCACTTTTAGCCTTAAATCTAGCTTAGATGGGGATACAAAAGGGGAAAAATGGACATTCACCCCAGGTTTGGTGATATGTAACATTCCAGACGTTTCCAATTGAGCCCCATCAGTTTACTTTGCTAAACTGACAAAAACGTCCAAGCATTCTGTCTTGGTTTTAACCACACAGTCCAAGAAACATAGCACACTTACTTTACCTTACTAGAAATAAAGTCTTTACAGTCCAGAAATGTTACTATCTCTTGAGGAGTGAAGAGTTAGCTGAGAAATCATTAAATAAGGCCCTTCCTGCTGCTATAACCATTCTGCAGATATTCCAGAGACAAAACTACTTACCGATGAAGCCTCTGCAATTCTTGTTCATTCCATTCCTCATCATCAATTAAACCAGGTAGATAGTGGCCTAACAGACGCTCGTTCCTTGTATCAGATCCCTTAACTTCAACTGGAAAGTCCTTGCTAACACCAGATTTTGGAAGAGTTTCTTTAGCAGAAGAACTAGGTTTCTTGGATTCAATATGAGAACCAGTGTCACCTTTAGAGTATGAAACCAGTAGCATATCTTTTGTGACATTGCATATGTTCTTTCTCTCGTCAGTCAGCCTTTCTTTGGTGTTTTTTGCTCTGGTTTTACTTCTGATCTCTATTTCATTCTCATTACATGACAAAAGTGATGAGCACTGGCTATAAGATGATCCGGCTGCTTGACTTTTGGTTTTCAATTTCGAGGGCAACTTATAATTCTTCTTAAAATCACTGGTGACCATTTGCTTATTTTTAGAGCAAGGTATCTGAATTTTCTGTCTGACAGTCAGTATATCACATTCACTGCAATCTTCTTTGGGGTAACTTTTATAACTCACATTGTATTCAAAGGTCTCTGAGGACTTATGGGTAGAACTTACATGCACATCTGACTCACTGTCTTCTTCAGGCTTTGATTTGAAAACATCTGGTACTCCTTTGATACAGAGATTGTGCTCCATACATCTTTGCTCTATCACCTGTCTAGTTTTAAGTGGTGTTACTAAAACATACACTTCCTTCTGATTCTGATGCAGGTATTTTCTGTCTTTGTCAGAGGCAGTCGGTTCTGGTGATTTCAGGGCATCAACGGGTACACTTAATACTTCAGTACTCTCTTTTTTCATTGAACAAAACCAAACCAAAACCAAAATCTCTTAAGTACAGAAAAAAAAATACTTTTTCAAAATAAAACAATTTTCCCCACAGGTTACACAAAAGCACTGGTCTATTTAGATCACTCCTAATTCAAATGTAAGCATTTGGTTATTTACACAACCCTGCCAAGGGCTTCCCAGTTTACTGGCATACATGTAAGCTTTTCTACCTGCTCTTCAATATACTTTCAATCTTTCACTGACCTCAAATTAGAATCATTCTCTATGGGTATTAGAATACCTATTTTTCAAATCTGCTTGGGCCTGAACATTGTTTACTTTCCCTGAAAAGTTTCCTGTAGTGGTTTGAAGCAGAATGGTTACCATAGGCCACATGTTTGAATGACAGTTAGTGGGACTGTTTTGAAGGTGTGTCACTGAAGACCAGGCTTTGAGGTTTCAAAAACCCATGCCATTCCCAGCTAGCTCTCTGTCTCATGCCTGAGGGTCAGATGTGAACTCTCAGCTCCGGCTCCAGCACCATGCCTACCTAATGCCATGCTCCCTGCCATGACAGACATGGACTATCTCTGAAACTAGAAGCAAGCCCCCCAATTACATGCTTCTTTCTATCAGTTGACTTGATCATGGTGTTTCTTCACAGCAATAGAACTAAGATACTTATTTAAGAATAATAAATCACCACACCATCATAACAAAATGCTGAAACTATGTACACATATCACGCCGTAAAAGATAAACAACAAAATAAACAGTTGTCAGTAATGGTGGGGGAAACTGCAAAATTATAATTTATTTGATTAGTACCATTATCCTATTGAAAAGAAATCAGATAAATTTCTGCAAGATTTTTCACGAATATCATAGATTTACAAAGTATTTTCTTCCATTTCCTTACATAAATCAAATAAAGCATTCAGTTAGATCATTTCATTCTACTTAATAATCTCAATAAACAGCCAGGCAGGGGTGGCAGTGGTGGCACATGCCTTTAATCCCAACACTTGAGAGGCAGAGGCAGAGGCAGGCAGATCTCTGTGAGTTTGAGGCCAGCCTGGTCTACAGAGTGAGTGCCAGGAGAGGCTCCAAAGCTACACAGAGAAACCCTGTCTCAAAAAACTAAATCATCATCATCATCACAATAAATATTCAGCCTCTCTCTCTCTCTCTCTCTCCCCCCCCAAGACAGTTTCTTTGTGTAGCTTTGTAGACCAGGCTGGTTTTGAACTTAGAGAGATCTGCCTTCCTCTGCCTCCCGAGTGCTGGAATCAAAGGCATGCATCACCAACACCCGGCTCATTCAGTCTCTTTTAGGTACTTTAAATTAACTTGGTTAAATCTAGTAGCCTAGACAGTACTGTATTCCTCACCACTTTTATGAATTTTGATAGTTGCTCTTCATTCTCATTTTTCAGTTATAGTAAAATATACCACTAGGCCCATGAATTTATCAAAGCATGAAATCTTGAACTTGTTAGTTTTCAGAGAAAAGGCACTTTAAACTTTGGTATACAAACATTTAATTACTCTGAAAAATCAACCTTTAACAAACTTTAACTATGGCATTAATTTCATAACAGGAAACATTACATATGAGCAGATTTAAAGCAATATATAACTTTCAGAGATAGTTACTTAGGGATCATTTTTAAGACAAACCTATAAATAATATATTTAAAGTAACATGTTATTTCATTAAATAATCATTTTATGCACAAATAACTACTTTAAACCATTAACATATTTACCATTTTACATTAAGAAACTTAAAAAGATCATTTATTATGTTAAAAATTATTTTAAACAGTTACTATCCTAGTCATTACACAACTACCAAAGATATTACCTTGCTTCTGACTTCGAATTTTCTCTTCATTTATTTCTTCAGAATTATCAAAGTTTTTTGAAGGACATTTTCTGCAATCTTCTTTTTCAGTTAATTCCTTCAAAGTAAATAATGTACTTTTAACAACTACAATGTAGATGTGATTGTGGGCATTTCCATAGCATGCATAAAGTATTGAAAAATTTTAGGTACTTGCTATTCTACAAATTTCATTAGTAAAGCATTCACAAAGTCCTGTTGGAACTTAACTTTAGAAGTAGAACACGTGGTTACATGATCCTACAAAAGTCTTATTTGCAATTTTACTTTTTAAAAAATATTTACTTTTTAATTTATGTGCATGTGTCTAAATATATGCCATGTGTATAAGAGTGTCCAAAGGAGGCTAGAAGAGGGCTTCAGACCCCCTGAAGCTGGAGTTAAAAAAACTTTGAGCTAACTGATAAAGGTTATGGTCACAAAATAAAATACTGGAAAACAGGAGGCATCCCTAACCACAAAGACCATATCTGCAGTTTTTCATGTACTTTTTAATGCTTTATCTAAGACTTTACTCTCCTTTTGCTATTGTTGCTGGTACTTTTTTAATGAAAAATGTAAAACAAAATAAAAATCTCTAAGTGCATAAAAGATGGCTCAGCAAGTACAAAGGCTGATCCTCTGAACTTGCATGAGAACACTGCCTCCTGCAAACTGTCTTCTGATACACAATTGCTTGAGGTAGCACACATATACCCTGCCCTTCAAATAAATAAATGTAAGTTTTAAAACAAAATAAAATATAACACCATGGGAATTAAAGTTAAAGCTAACAGAGTTTTCTAAATTGGAGTTGAGGCCATCAAAGGAGACAGACTTAACAGAATTTTTCCTACTGCCTAGAGATGTGAACTGTGGTTATTTGACTGCAGGCAGCTATAAAAGATAATTACATTGTATCCAGACATTCAAGATGATAAAAAAAGTTACTGAAATTTTATCCTATGGACATTTTTGTAAACTATATACTTAAAAATTTAGGAGTACTGATACAAACCAAGGGTATATCTCTCATACATAGCAAATATTCTACAAACGGAAGTATATCCCATCCCTATGATTTTTTTCTCTATCATTTATCATACATGGTCCCTGTCACAAACACCTGTTTAACTTCAACAGCAGTTCCCTCAAAAAATAATTTTTGCTGCTCAATGTGAGCTTCTCCTTTCCTAACTTCTTAAACACTGGCTCAAAGAACTCTGGGTCTATTTTCCTGAAACAATTCTTGGAATTCTTAAGATCTGAAATAGAACCCTTTTGACTTTTGCAGTTTCTGATTTAGGATTGATCAATATAAATGACAATTAATCAAAAAGAAATTGTATCTTTTGATGCATCCTGAAACTTTTCAGGTACCACATTATATTCCTAAACATCAGGACCTTACTTAACTAAGTTATATATGCCATTATTTAAATAGTATTACTTACTTGGTTATTTAAGAGCCTTAACTGTGGCTTATTTCTACAATTATTATATCCAATGTTTATTTCCGCAGCTCCTGGCAACCCATCGTGCTTATTTTTCTTCATTTCTGTGAATTCAAAGACCTAGCGTTAAGTAATTACAAAGAAGATTCAGTGTTTTTCAGCAGTTTACGGTGTTCTGTGCCTGTGCTGCCATCACCCTGGAGATTAAGGTGGAGTGTTAGCAATATAAGAGACTATCTCAGGGAAAGGAGGGAGGAAGGGGGGAGGAAGAAAAACAAGAGAGTGAGAAAGAGGGAGAGGAAGGGAGGGGAAGAAAAATGGATGGAGGAAAAAGATAAGCTGCTTTGCCATATTAAAGAATTAACTATGGAAAGAAAGATCTGTGAAATGAAATGTCTTATACATTCACTATAATTTGATCACAATAAAATATTTTTTGTAGGACAGACTACTCTCTATAGGGTATGGTTTAGTTTAAATCCCTTTTATTTTCCTAAAATAAAAATAAATAAATAAAAATGAACAATAATATTGTTTATACCTGCCTTGAATCCCTTATTATATCTAATAACAGATTAGTATAATTTTCTGAATTTATACCTATACATCCAAACTAAATAGAAAGCTAATGATTGTTTTTCCTTTATTTAAGTATGAAATTATGTTTCAGTTAATTTATATGCTTCAATGTATAATTAAATCCACATTATTTTCCGCAAAATCAAATTTTACAATATTTTGTGGAGAACTTTTATTTTCTCCATAGGAGTGTCGTAGCTCATGGGCACCCACACTCACAAACACTAATTCAAAAATTAATTAATTAAAATAAGGACTTTTGTTTAGCTGCTATTTTTGCTTTTTATGGCTGGATTTTGTACTATAGACCAGACTGACCTTGAATTCTAGATGTTCCTGATTCATTCTTCTAAGTGTTGGGATTAAAGGTATGTGCCAAAACATCTGGCCCTAAAGGTATTTAATTACTCCATTAGAAACTGTAAAGATACACAACAGATGGCTCTGACCCTTGAGATTACTATATAGTATAGGAAGCTAATACTATAGTAAATCCTTCATAAGATGCTTATGTAAGTGCTATAAACAATTTTTTAAGCTACAATACTATGATAAAATGGTTACAGCACTACATATGGAAAATTAGATAATTAAAATAATCATGTCATTTTACATTATTATGGGTTGGCACATTTATATAACCTCAGTTGTTTAATGTGAGGCACAGTTAAGGGTTGTTTTTTTCCACTTCAATTTTATGGATATGCAATGGCTTCAGAGGCCAGAAGAAAATATTAGATTCCCTGCAGCTGGAGATACAGGCAGTTGTGAGCTGCTTGATATGGGTGTTGGGAACTGAACTAAGATTCTCAGCAAGAACATTTCATGTTCTTAGCCACTGGGCTATCTCCAACCACGGTTTTTCATTATTTTCTTGTAGAAAATGTAATAATATATTGGTAACACATCCCACTTGCCTCATGTTTTCTATAACATTTGTAAGCAATCATATTTACAACTCAGCTCTCTTTCCCAAGAAAATAACTCAGGGTTATTTTTCATTTTGGAATTTAAAAAGGAGGGTAGGGTGGGCAACAATAAGTAATATAGTCCCAGGACTCCAGAAGACGTAAATGTTCTAGCAAAGTCAATAACCAACCTACCAATCTTAAACAAAAGAAACAAAACAAAACAAAACAAAACAACAACAACAAAAAAACCAACAGTGACTTTTGTAAAAAGGAAGGATTGAGAAAGATCTAAATCTTTGGTAAGTGAAATTTTTGCTTTTTTTTTTTTTTTTTCCTGAGACAGGGTTTCTCTGTGGCTTTGGAGGCTGTCCTGGAACTAGCTCTTGTAGACCAGGCTGGTCTCGAACTCACAGAGATCCACCTGCCTCTGCCTCCCGAGCGCTGGGATTAAAGGCATGCGCCACCAACGCCCGGCTGCAATCTTTCTTTGAACTAAAAAAGAATTAGAAAAGTTCAATGAGAAAGGGAGTTCCACTGATATAACAACATTAGAGTGAGATGCAGTGTATTTACATCGAACATAATACCTTTAGCAAAAACAATCTGCAATTCTCACAAGTTTTAAAATTGGACACAGCTCTTAGCTACAAAGTTAAGGTAAAATCCAAGAAATGTGCATAACAGATTTCAGTTAACTTTTATCATCTATATAATTCAGAGGACTATAAGTTACTCCTTGTATATTATTAATGAGAGGAAGGTAGTGTTAGATGTAGAGTATAATGTCAGAAAAGAGCTGACATAGAACAGTTCTGCCAACTACCTCTATGGCACTTGCCAGTCATGAACCTATGCCAGTTCCTCCACAAAAACAAATATAGATACTTGTCTCTACTACATGATTGCTGGTAACCTAAATATAATCTTTTATTGACCGGGGTTTTGGCATTGTGATTAAAGGTTTATCCATGAAATAAAAAGCAATAATGATGATGAGCAACAGTCTGCAGAGTAGTGAAAAAGCAGGAATTTCAAGGTACTATTTAGTCAAAGAGCATCACACTACATATTATCTACAACATATGGTGTTAAACTTATTAAGACTCTACCACAGTAACAACAAAGAAAAATTCAAACATACCCAAGTTATCATTAGTAAGGTCATAAGTGATGTTGGCCTTCTGGAGGACATCTGTCTGTTTATCTTTTGCATCATTATTCATTGATTTTTGTTTTTCATGAAGTCTTGCAGTTTTCTGACTGGTCTCATTCCTGTTCTTTTCTCCAGCCCTAAAACAATTGTGTTATTTTTTTTTCTCTAATATTGGTTCTCAAAAAAAACTGAAAACTTCAACCCACAAATAATAGAATGATCAAGGAGTTCAAGGCCTGTCTGGGCTACACATTGAGATTAACGTGTTACAGGAGACCCTTTTCAAAACACAAAAGCACAAAAACAAAAGACGGGGCTGGAGAGATGGCTCAGGGGTTAAGAGCACTGCCCATTCTTCCAGAGGTCAAGTTCAATTCCCAGCAACCACATGGTGGCTCCCAAGCATCTGTAATTCTGTAATGTAGTCTGGTGCCCTCTTCTGGCCTGTAGGGACACATGCAGGCAGAACACTGTATATCATAAATAAATAAATAAATAAATAAATAAATAAATAAATAAATAAATCTTTGAAAAAAAAAACCAATTATTTAAGCAGATTGAAGAAAACTACAGGACAGGATTATAAAACACTATTGTGCATTTTCCTATTTTTGTAAATAATGTTTACTGAAACACAGTCATGCTCATTCAATTTACACTTGAATAAGCTTTTCTCTTGAAAAGACAAATTTGATTGGTTGAGAAAGAAGTTAACATGTCCGGAAAAATACCACTTGGCACTTTACAGGAAAAACAAGTCACCAATTCCTACTATAAGTTACTTGTGCTTGGATAAAATTTAAAGCTCTCTATCTCCTATTGGCTCCCAAAGAACAAGAACTAATAAAATTTTACTTTCAATGTCTGCTATGTACTTGGCAGGTAACACTCAAAAACTACTGAAAATAATGGAGAAAAATTAATCAAGAACTTCAGACCAATATTTGACAACTACACACCATTCAAAGGGTAGGTGATTGAATTCTCCTTAACATATGGCTCAGATTTTGTTTGCTTTTGAACTTACTCAACATGACAGAAATTCCAATAAAGCATTATTTCTAAAACACCTATGATCACAAAATACTCCAAAACTAGCACATCAACACAAAAACCCAACAAATGAAAACCACTTTACATTGATTACAGAGGCATATACACATGAAAATGAGTGTTATATTCTGTATCTAAAGTGAGTACATGTTAGGGAACATAACTTATACCTTGATGAAGCCGATTTAAAAAACAAAAACAAAACAAAAAAAAAGTTAAGGACACTTTACCTTAATTGTTCTAGAAAATGATCAATGTGTTCCTTCCAATTTCGGGGGAATCCAAACATAAATTTTCTTATGAGATAACAGGGATACCCTATTTAACAATAAGCAAAATAAATACATAATTTTTTAATTTAGAAAAAGAAAAAATTAAAATGATCCAAAAGCCCAGAATTTTAAAGAGCCATCTCTAACTCACTGTCAATCAATAAATGCATACTTGTTTTATTATATGATAAGTAATGCTGGAATATGAGGACACATCAGTTAAGCAAATAAAAATTACTACATATTTGATGTCTAGCGTGTAAGAGCCAGGAAGTAAAATCCATTGCCAGACTGGTATTTACAGAAAAAGTGGCTAAGCATTTTCATGGGAGAAAGGGAGAGGACAATTTAAAAGGGGGTAGCCAGGGAAATTCTACTGAAATAGGAAGCCAAGTTCTGGGAACCTGGGAGAATGAGTCATGTGGCAATATAGAATTAGAATATTAGAAACAGGAAAATGAAAAGCCTGTGACAAGAAGACAACTGGTCTGTTTATGAACTAAGACTAGCAAAGCTGAACTGCCATGAGGAGTTAGTAGGAGGCATTTACTCAAAGAGGTAATAAAGGTAGTGGGGTATGTGGGACATTACAAGGGTTAGGGTCAATTTATGAGCCTGGGTATTTAAGAAAAAGGAAAAGCTTTGGAAAGATTGAACTAATAATGATACCCATTTACCTGCTTCTTTCATGGAAATCTGGTCTATCAATCCTTTTAATATATAAATGTTGCCCGATAATGTCCTAAGTTCATTGTGTCTAATCCGCTCTACAATTACATTACTATGCCAATAAACATCAGTCATATCTCTAGGGAAAAAAAGGATAAGCTTAGTAAGGAGAACATATTTACACTTTACAAGAAACTGATATACATGTAGAAGCATACAAATGTATATAATAAAGTGTAGTTATTTTGAGCCAGGTAATATATAATCTCAGCACGTAGTAAAAGACTGAGGCCATGACAACTAGGGCTTCTCGGTGAGATGAAGTCAGATCACCCTTGCAAAAGAAAAGTACTAATTTTGTACTTTCAGCTATGGCAACAATAAAGGCATTACTAACCTAATTACAAAACACTTGAGGGCTAACCAGTTCAGAACTCAACTGCTTGTCTAATGTAATCCTCAGAGTATATGCCAAGAACTATACTGTGGTCAATCAATCTATCTAATATAAAATATAGTGGTGCATGCCTTTAATCCCAGTACTCGGGAGGCAGAGGCAGGTGGATCCTTGTGTGTTTGAGGCCAGGCTGGTCTACAGAGTGCCAGGATAGCCTCCAAGGCTACACAGAGAAACCCTGTCTTGAAAAACAAACAAACAAACAAATAGCATTAGCAAGAAAACAGAAACCAACTGTCATCAAGTATTTGCTGTCGGCCAGAAATGTTATTTTTACTTACTCAGATGAGGTCTTGCTTTTTTTTGTTTTTTGTTTTTTCATATTTTTATTTAGTGTGCGTATGCCATGGAATTCTAAGGGGTCAAGCAAGACACAGCTTCTGGGGATCGGTTCTCTACTTCCAACATATGGGTCCCAGGGATCTTACTAAGATTGTACAACCTGGCAGCAGGCACCTTTGCCCTCTGAGGCATCTTGCTGGCTCCTGGGTCTTACTATGTTACCCAAGATAGCCTTGGACTTCTACATTCTCCAAGTACCTGAGATTATCGATTACATATGCACTCCTACTCCCTCCCTCCTGCTCCATGTTCTGAAATGCCAAGTAGATCACATAATTTTAAGGCATTTTTGTCTTTTCGTAACCATAAATACAAAGGCAAATGTTTTTAGCTTCCATTTTGTAAAGAGGTTTTAGTTGAGAAAAAAACATAAAGTTGCAAGTCACTGATCTAGAAATCTAGTCTTTAAATGAAACTAACAATAAATATAAAATTAGAACCAATTATGAAGATCTACTAGATAAGTGCCGAGCAATAAACACATACATGAGTTATAAGGAAGTTCTCTCAACTGAATCAAGACATGGTCTCTCTCAATAGCCCTGGGGAACTCTGTAGACGAGGCTGGCCTCAAACTCAGCTACAGCCTCTTGCCTCTAGAGTATTGGGATTAAAGGCTCACACCACTATAGCTTCATTTAACATTTAAATCAAACTCTAAAAGGCACTGCTCTTTAATACTGTAAATATTAACTCATTTAATACAACAACCACCTACAACAAAGCTGAGCACTAAGCATAAGGTGAAAGTTATCCTCAATGCATAGTAGTGCAAGGTCAACCTGGGCTACATAAGACTGTTAAAACAAGAAAAGCTTCTCACAGTGTTGGTCATAATATTATTACCAATGTATTAATGAAGAAATAGAGCTTCGCAGAGTATAAGCAACTTGTTCAAGTGACATTGGTAGTAAGCAACACTAATCGGACTCAAAAAGGCAATCTAGACATTGCATCCTAGACATTCTGGAAAAGGGAATAAGGCAATAAGATAGACAACTAGACTTTACATATCCAACCTTAGAAACCAGGATATTTCATATTGTTCTACTATAAGTCATTTTACTAGGGAGAAACTGAGTTAAACTCTACTTGTCTGACAATGTTTTCACTTCTGAGACAACCAAAATTATATAATATGCAACTACTTGACAGCTTTAAATAATTTTGATCCTTTGATGGATCAGTAATTTTCATCAGCTAACTTTAGCAGTTTATACCTCATGAGAATGTCTTTTGTACAAAGATGCTATTTGTCATTGATCACTTACATAAAACCAACTTAAATGTTAATAAAAGAACACTTAAATGTTATACTTACACCAGTTTTCCTTCTACGCATATAGCTGTATTATTATTGATGACTTTAATCATCCATTCCTGTAGCTGGACTGCCTGATCAAGCATAAAACAAAGAACTCATTTCTTATGCTACTTTCAAGGAGGATTATAAAATTAGCATTAAACATTAGAAAATCTGAACTATAAGAAAAACCTTATAACCCTAGTTTTTTCTTACCCATCTATCCAAAAATCAGCCCATTTTAAACAGCAATTCTGTTTGTTTGTTTGTTTGTGTTTTTTCGAGATAGGGTTTCTCTGTGAAACAGTCCTGGCTGTCCTAGAATTCGCTCTGTAGACCAGGCTGTCCTCAAATTCACAGAGATCCACTTGCCAAGTACTGAGAGAAAGGTATGCGCTACCAATGCCCAGCTTAAACAGCAATTCTTTAAAACTTCCGTACTGAATAAAAGAAAAAATAGAGACATTTAACTGAGGTTGTACTATATTGCTTGACTATGATACAGGAAGATCTGCATTTCAAATACTCATATAAAATGGCTTAGCCATAAGGGGGAAGAGAATCTTAACACACACATTGAACCACCAAATCTTTTAGAAAACACAGCAACTTTGAGGGAACAAAAAAATGCCAAATATATCATATACCTTGTCTCCAAAAAAATTAGAATATATTTTTGTTAAGCTGATTTAGAGTTACATTTTCAGTTTCTATACACCATAAAGGTCACAGCTGGTAATAAACATTCAATACCATTCTATTCCAAAGCAAGCAGCTGAATAACTCTGAAAATGTTTTTAGTATAAGTAAAATGTCATTAAAATATAAAATTTTCTATGAATACTGATAATAAAAACATTTATAGTTCATAACAATTTATTAACATAAACAAAGTGTTTCTGAATAGAACTAAAGTCAAAATTAATAGAATAACTAAAGAGTGCCATTCACTTTAAATAAATGTATGAATTTACATATAATGGCAAGTTTCCTAGTGACTTTAAGCTGAACCAGGAAAAGATGTTAAAATGGGTGGATGGTCTTTGGTATTGCATTTCTTAGTCATTCTTTTAAAATATAGGTATTTGGGCATGTAGCTCAGTGACATGGCATAAGTCCCCAGGTTTGATCTCCAGAACTGAAAAAAAGATTAGAAGACTAGGATTAATACTATTTTCACCACATTTGGATATACCAGCAGGCAATGGGAAACATGAGAGAGCATTCCTTGGTGTGACTTAGATTCACTAGTTATGTTATCTTTACAATACTAGAAAGAAAGCACCATCTCCATTTTACAGAAAAAAGATAAAATATATCTAAATAACTTTCCTGTAATATATTAGTGGAATTGATGGGTTATAAGCCAAATTCTAGAATCTTGTAATATACTACTTATTTAAAACATGCTGTCATTAAACATTTGAGCTATAGTCACTGTTCTAGACATTGGGGATTTGACAAGAGATAAATTATATGCCATTATAGAGTAAACATAGCCTGTGCATGAGAGCATACTGGGAGGAAGTAGAAGCAAGAAGGAAGGAGATGGTATCCAAACAAATATATACATAGTTACTATGAATAATAAAAGCATACAGAGGTGCTTAAGACAGATAGTTAAGAAAGGTCTTGGAGCAGAGAACTGAATAAAAGAAAGCAAAAATCCACATGGCTTAAAAGATTTTTTCTAATTAAAGAACAAATTAAAAAGCCCTAAATAGGTAGCAGGGAAAGCACAATTACTTGAAAGGGGTAAGAAAGAAGGAATATTAAGTTTGGAGATTTCACTCCATGATGAATGATGTGAAGAATGGTAAACTATGATGTGAGATAATGCTCTTGTTCACTCATACTGGCTTAATAAAACACTGATTGGCCATTAGCCAGGCGGGAAAAGGAGAATTCTGGGAAGAGGAAAGGTAGACATGCAGTCACCAGCCAGATGCAGAGGAAGCACAATGAGAATGCCTTACTGAGAAAAGGAACCAAGCCATGTGGCTAAACATAGATAAGAACTATGGGTTCATTTAAGTTGTAAGAGTTTGTTAGTAATAAGCCTGAGCAATAGGCCAAACGGTTTATAATTAAAACAAGCCTCTGCGTGTTTATTTGGGACTGCATGGCTGCAGGACTGGGCAGACAGAAATTTTCATCTACAAAACTGGAATAAAGGCATAAGTTTTTCTTCTGTCACTAGAAGTTACTGGAAAAATAGCATTGAGAGTTGGCATATAATGGATGAAATGATGGACCACAGAAAATCTGTATGGGATGAAGAGAAATGAGGACATGTGACTGTAACAAACTAGTAGCATCAGAATATTGAGCATAGGGTAGGTATAAAGATGAATGGGGAATTATAATAACATGAGAAACGTCTTCATTGAGAATCTGGTACATACCCTAGCAATAATGAGATATGAATAGGGCTCAAGTAGATGATAAATATATTACAGGGGTCATTAAACAGAAATCGATGGGTGGCAATGCACACCATAATTCCAGCACTAGTGGATCTCTGAGTTGGAGGCCAGCCTGGTCTACACAGAGCAAATTCCAGGACAGCCAGGACTGCTACATAGAGAAACCCCATCTCGAAAAACCAAAGAGAAAGAGAAATGAAAGAGAAATTGAGGTTGTTTGTATAATGCCCCTTTCAGCTACAGCAAGTAAAAAACAATGTCCATAGAACATAGATAACAGAATATTGATGGTATATATATCTCAAGTTGAAGAGGACACCGTATAATGAAGACCTGAGTATGAGTGAGAAACTAGGTCAGAGTTAGGGAATGTACAAAACTATCTATGGATGAGTCCTGGAAGGCTTGAAGTTCTTATGGCAACTGGTATAAACAGCATGGTAGAGATGAAGAAGTACTAGGAAATCTTAGAATATTTTTCAAACTTTTCTCATACATTAATTCAAGATCTAAATTGTCATCATTAAATTTAAATATTTGTAAATGATACACTGAGATACAAAACTGCAACTACTTCATTTTAAAAAATTAAGATAGAATTAAATAGCATCTCAATTTGATACCCACTGTCATTTACTTAAAACTTACCAAGCATACTTTTAACAGTTGGGAATTTTACACTGTCCTTTTCCTTTTTTTCAATGCTGGAAGATTAAGCCTGGGATTTATACCATGCTTATATTTCTTGAACTGACATTACATTTCCTTCAAAAGTGTGTCTTAATGTAGCATAGTTTAAAGTTTTTTTTATTGCTCACCCTATATATAACTTTACATCAAGAAAAATTCTCAACTTTTTTTCCATTTTTAAAAAGGTTTATTTATTTATTATGTATATAGTGTTCTGCCTGCATGTATGCGTGCATGCCATTAAGAGGGCACCAGATCTCATTATAGATGATTATGAGCCACCATGTGGTTGCTAGGAATTGAACTCAGGACAGTGCTCTTAATCTCTGAGCCACCTCTCCAGCCTGAAAATTCTCAACCCTTTAGTTGTTAAATTAAAATTCTTTTCTATTGCAAATATTGTTAGTGATACCTCAAAAGTCAGAAAAGCAGAAGCAGGAACAATGTCAGCATTCATTTATTACAGGCATAAGTGAATTGTTGACATTTACTAGTAATAGAGCAAGACAAGAATTAATGACTGAGTCACCTTACTTTCAACCCATTCATCTTTTCACTGGGATCATAGTTGCTACAGTCAATAATAAAACAAAAAAAACATAATGAGACTTTATGTAAAGGGGCAATAAAAATAGAAATAAATACCTGCCTTAAATATCTTCCTACCTGGTATTGTTTAACAATCCTTGCAAGCTTTGAGACCTGCCTTTGAGACTGGCGAGATACTGTTCGTTTAAGTATTGGACTTGCAGGTATAATTTCAAAGGTATCTTTTATGGAATTTTGATGAATAGTCCTTCTCAAACCTGTATTTTTATTTTTTTCTAAAATATCCTCTTTTGTAGTTCCTTCTGTTGACATGTCATTGTCAGAAGTTATCAACTGACTATGATTCTTAATAGGAACACAACGAATACTAACAGTCTTAATATGAGTATTTTCAAACTTTTCATAAGTAGAATCAATGTCTTCCAAAACAAATGTGTCTTTTTTGGACACAGTGGTTTTAACAGTGTTCTCCTTTGAATGAAGAAGTTGTTTAGCAAACTGAGCTCTGGTTAATGTCTTGCTTGAGATGCTTGAAGCTGTAACATTTTCTTGTTCTTGGTTCAAAACTGGAAGCTCTGCCAAAAATACAAAAAACAAAATTTATAGAAAGGCCCTATGGAAATAAAAGTTGTTTTACACTACTTATATTAAAAATACATCAAATTAGGAGTGTTCCACCCTTGTGTTCTCTAGTTTTTGTTTTTGTTTCTTCTTCCTTCTGAGACAGGGTTTCTCTGACTAACAGTCCTGGCACTTGCTCTGTAGTCCAGGCTGGCCTCAAACTCAGAGATCTGCCTGCTTCCCAATTGCTGAGATTAAAGGTGTGAGCACCATCATCACCACCACCACCACCACCAGCACCACCAGTTTTATTGTTGTTGTTTTTAAGACAGTCTCTCTATGTATCCCTGGTTATTCCGGAACTCACTATGTAGATCAGGCTAGCACCAAACCCACCTCTGCCATCTGAGGGCTAAGGCATGCATTATCACCACACCCATTTATTGTAACTCAAGGTTCAGAGATAGTTCTTACTGCCCACTGGTAACTACCTAGAACATTTAACAATACTCTGAAGTAACTGGCAAAAAAAGAAAAAAAAAAAAAAAGGAAAAAACAAAACTGACAAACATATAAAACAAATAACACACAAGAGTTTGTCATAACTCAAATTGTGCCTTTCTACTTTCTTTTCCTGCTGGTGTTGAATCTTTTGTTTCTGGGTGTGGTGATTTGCCCCTCACCGCTGCCCCAAGCTCATCCAGTTGAATGTTAAGTCACCATTTTAGGAACTATTTGAAGGATTAGAAGGTATGACCTTGGTGGAGGAAGTGTGGGTTTCGTGGTTTGAATAAGAGTGCCCCACTCTGCCTGTGGATCTGGATGTAGATCTCAGCTACCACCCTGCATGCCACCTGCTTTTCCTGCCATGATAATGGACTAAGCCTCTGAAATTGTAAGCAAGCTCCCAATTAAATGCTTTCTTTAGTTGCTGTGGTCATGGTATCTCTTCATAGCAATAGAGCAGCGCCTAAGATAGTGGGAATGATGTTTGATGATTCCAAAGGAACTTCTTGTAGGTTGGCACTTTAGAAAGAGAGACAGAGAGAATAGTCTTCAAAATTTAGAAGGCATTTGAGTCAGTAACAATCAGACTAGTATAGTGTGCTTTCATAATAAATTTCTCTTTACTATTGCCCCTTGCCTTTACTTCACTCTCTATACATATGCTGAGGGGAAAAAAAAATCAAATATTTCCAAATTACAATTTGCCTTTTCAAGAGAAAAGCATACTATTAAGCCTCTGTAAACAGTCTCTGGCCCTGATTCCTCCTTGTACAAGCAGCACCAAAGACAACGGTGCAGTTCACCAAAGCCACGGGAGCTATCTTTACTGAAATTCTGGATTAGCAACACATTCCACACTACTGTGTACCAGAGGATGCCAAAGCCCTACGGGAGTCCTTCTCAGGTGGTCCTAAGGGCATGAACAATTAACAAAAATGGTGGGGTCTAACCCACCATTTAAAATTCAAAATATGAAATCTAGTTGCAAATCCCTTTGACTTTTTTTAATGTGGTAGGCTCTCATATAGTCTAAGTTGGCCTCAAGCCTGAAAGCCTCATGAACACTGGGACTACAGGAATATATCAATCACCATGCCCAGCTTTTGACATAAGTTTTAGGCCTTCAAAGAAATGAAAGTTTGTCAACTAGACAAATATAGACTAGTAGTACTATTTTCACTTTATTCTGATTATATTTTAAATCTTTACATTTAATGCATTTTTGAATACAGAAGTGAGGTCTTTTTCCCCCACACATAAAAGGGAAAATACTTAAAATCTGTGCCAGAGAAGAAAAAGATCATTTTATGTGTGCACATTTGGACAAATAGTCATCAGAATCTCAGATAAGAACCTTATCTGCTCTAAAATACTATCACTGACTCACATACTCACACACACATATACATACATAGTATGCACATACATATATGTATATATACATGTTATATATGCATATATATCATGCTACATCATTTCATTTGTTCCTTTTTATCCTCCTACTTCCTATAAGAAGTATTGTTTTGTATACTCTTTGATCTGTACCCCAAACTCTCTTATAGTTGTTAGGCCTGGTGGCACATACCTGCAGTTTAGCACTTAAAGACTAAGATATGAGACTTGAAAGTTCAGGTTGGCTTGGGTTGCATAGCAAGACCTTCTCAAAACAAAATCTTCACAAGGCTAGTGACAGTGCTTATATAATATACTTGAGGCTTCATACTTAATCCCCAATATAAGAAAGGGAGGGAGGGAAGCAGGAGTGAGGAAGAAAGGAAGATTTCTAGTTTTCGTTTCTTACCACTTCTCTATTTTTTCAGACCAGGCTATGATATCAACAATTATCCCTATCATAAGACATACCCCCCACACACATGGTATTCCTGACTTTCTTATCTATCATGTCCACTTGAGCTGCCTCTTTATTATGATGCACTAAACTCACAGCTAGTCTCTGAATTTAGGCTAGGTTAGTTGTTTGGATATACATCTATTACCTCACAAACTTTTGTACCTAAAATCTCATCTTCTCATTGAGGCTTATTCTGACCACAGAACAACTTTCACTTATACCCATCGGCTTTACTACACTTTTGTTGTTGTCTTTTGAGACAAGGTCCCACTATACAGTCCAGGCTAGTACTAACACAAAGTAATGCTCCAGACAACCTCTTCAATGCTGGAATTTGCCATCACGTCTGGTTCCTTTTTTTTTTTTTCTTCCCCTTCTTCTATTATACCACAAAAATTACTTTTAAAGTTCTCCAGAATGTGAACAGGCATTTTGGTATTCTCTTCATTATGATATCCCAAAAGTGACTGACACATTAAACAGATAAAAAGACATTGTAGTTTTTTAAATCCATGAATAATTAAACTAACCTCCTAATGAAATATTACCGGATTGGAATGGTTCTTTTTTTTCTTCACAGAGGTAGGTTTGTTGCAACTGAATTTTCTCATCTCTGTTAGAAGTGAGGACTTGATTATGTTTGCATTTTGGTGATCCCAGCATGCTACTGCTCCTTGATGCCTGTTCTTGTTTGCCATGCTGTACTTTTTCTTTCATTCGCTGAAAGATTTTTCTTGGTGTTTCACAGTTCATTTCATTTCTTAATCCATTCACATTGGACTTTATAGCACTGATATCAAGATCCCTGTTTGAAGGGGCAGCCTCTGAGAGCATGGTGGATTGAAATATGTTTTTATTGTTAGAAGTTGCCATTTCTAATAACGGATTCTTTTGATAGTCATTCAACTTCAGAGAGGACTTCTGATATTTCACCAAATCTTTTATAGGAGTAAGTGTGCCTGAAGGGATGCTGTCAATAAAGACTGCATCTATAGGCATACTTCTTGGAGAAGACAAATGAATTCCTGAATGTTTCAAAGATGTTGCAATCATCTTGATAAGACAGTGGCAACAAAATACTTTTTATAGAAAATTCAATCAACACAAGTTTCCAGGCAGAACTTCAACAGGAACCCAGAGAAACCTGTAATAAAATCAATTGTTACCATTATTTGGTGATTTTTAAGTTTACTGATTTTCTGTAATATTATACCATTAAAAAGGCTTAATTGGTTTTTATCCACACTAGATAATTTATATATCACAAAACAGACTAATATTTAATATTTTTATTAAATTACAATTTTCATCCCTTTTCAAGAGAAAAGCAGTTTGGCATTCAAAACTGCCTTCTTACAAAAAAGAGACACCATTCAACAAATAATCTAGTTAATAACCCTAAATTCTGACTCATATATATCCATTTTTGAAATTTACCTGATAGCTATGGGAATGTGTTCCTTTAAGGGTTTTAGAGCTATCCAGGATGAGGTTTCCTGTATATTTTTGATTCTGATGCTAGAGCTGTACCCCAGGACCTTGAGCATGCTACACAAACATTCTACTGCAGCACTGATATTTATTCAAACATCAAGTCTTTAAGGTTCCAATCTAGTATTTGCATAAAGAGAATGACATCTGCATTAGGTACTACATTACGCTATAAAAAAAAAGTTAACAAATGTACTTCTCTATATGCACTTAAGAATTTGTAAGGCACCGGGCGTTGGTGGCGCACGCCTTTAATCCCAGCACTTGGGAGGCAGAGGCAGGCAGATCTCTGTGAGTTCGAGACCAACCTGGTCTACAAGAGCTAGTTCTAGGACAGCCTCCAAAGCCACAGGGAAACCCTGTCTCGAAAAACAAAACAAAAACAAAAAAAATTGTAAGGCATGGCTACAATGATCCTAATGAATTCGGATTCGGATTACGCATCTAATTATTTAAATAGCCTGGCTCTACTATGCTACAGAATATTTAAATTACAATATGTTAGTCGAAAAATTCAAATAAAGAAGTAATTTGAATTTATCATAATTCTTTAAATGCATTGCTATTTAGAAATTTTGAAGAAGCTTATTTATTTAAATATAAATGGTCTTAAACTTGTTTTTTTCTTTTTTAAGACACATTCTTGCTTTACAGTTCAGGCTGGCATCAACCTTGAAATATTCGTGCCCTAGGCATCTTGGTGCTGGGATTCCGGAGCACGTATTAACACATTTGGCTTTTTTTTTTCATATGTTAATTGTATTTTTCCACGACCAGAACTAATAATTCCATGTATAACTGTATATTGTATTAATACTTAGAAATTAATGTTTCACTGCTAGGTGCCTGGTGTTATGGTGGAAGCCTCATCCCAGGCTCTGGAAATGTTATGGTGGAACCCAAGCCCCCTTCCCTATCTCTCTCCAAACCCTGCTGCATCTCAGAAAGTAGACAAATGACCACCCCTCCCCCACAGATGTTTAAGACCACTCCCACAGGGTATTTAAACTGCCACCCCACCAAACCCCCAGAAAAATAGATGTGTGGTTTTCCAGTCCCCTCTCTGGGGCTGGAAGGCCACCTGAGAGCATTGTATTCATTAAATATGGGCTTTTTCTAATTCGGTTTGATATGGTCTGATTTGGATTGCTGCACTGGTTGAGATGCCTATCGGGTAGAAACTTTTCACCTAGAACTCACCAGTCAAGATTGATAGCAACTCTTACTATTGATTTATAACAATTCTAATAACTTTTTACATCATCTAAATGGAAAAGACCTAATATGGAAAATATTAACACATATGGTATGTATAGTGACACATACCACATACTGTATTTAGCACTCAGGAGATTGAAAGCAAACATGAAGTTAAAGCTAGCCTGGGCTATGAAACCTTGCCTCAAAAAATAGAAAAATAATTACTAAAGCAACTAGATCAAATGTTATCGATTTTTTTTCAAAAAGTGAGTAAGTGAATGGTTGGTTGTTGGTGACACATGCCTTTAATCTCAGCACTCGGTAGGCAGAGGCAGGCAGATCTCTGAGTTTGATGCCAGCCTGCTCTACAGAGCCAGTTCCTGGACAGGCTCCAAAACTACAGAGAATGCACCCCCCACACTCCCACCTGTGTGTGTGTGTGTGTGTGTGTGTGTGTGTGTGTGTGTGTGTGTGTGTGTAAGCAACTTGAATATCCATATACAAAATCTTACTTTATGTAATAATTAATAAGGGGGAAATACAAGGAAGTATTTTTCTTTTTGTTTTGTTATTTGTTTGGGAATTTGTTCTGTAGACTGTGCTGGCCTTAAACTCAAGTGATTCTGCCTCCTAGTCCTGGGACTAAAAGTCTCTCCCACCACACAATGTTACTTGAAGTATTTTTCTGTATCTTGTAAGTCTGGCCCTGTGACCAAAAAGAAACAAACTTGTAATTTTCTCACAAATTTTAGCTCAACAACTATGTATTGATATGTTTTGTTCATTATTTTAGCACTGCTAGATATTAAATCTAGGGCCTCAGGAATGCTAGGCATATAACCACTGAGCTAAAGCCCTAGCACTCAATAGATGTATATTCATCAGGTGGGCAGTGATGGGAGTTAGTAATATTCACTAACACTACCAATAAAACTACAGTTTCTCACCGGGCATTGGTGGCGCACGCCTTTAATCCCAGCATTCGGGAGGCAGAGGCAGGCTGATCTCTGTGAGTTCGAGGCCAGCCTGGTCTACAGAGTGAGTGCCCGGATAGGCTCCAAAGCTACACAGAGAAACCCTGTATCGAAAAACAAAACAAAACAAAACAAAATACAGTTTCTCAAAAATAAAAATGAATAGATTATACAATTGCATGGGAAACTGGCAAAGTATGGTCAAATTGACCTAATCTTAGTTTCTGGTCTGAAGAACTGCTTCACAAAACAAACTGAAAACAAGCCCAATCTGTACCAAAACACAGCAATTTCAAGAAGGGATAAAAGTTGGCCTGAGGCTCAGGTCTATGGGCTATTTGCACAGCAGGAGGATCCAAGTTCCAGGCCTCCAAGGGGGCTACAGAGCCAAGTCAACAACAGATCCTTTCAAAAGAAAAGATAAGCTTGAGGCTACAGCAGTGGCAGACACTTGCAGCCTGCCTAACCTGGATGGCCCTAGGTTCTTAGCGCTTAGCAAAAACCATAAGCAACTCACATGTCAAGGTGACTGCAAGGAACATAGCTGAAAAGCCATTGTGTGCAACTTTAAATAATGAATGCAAAAAGAGACAGGTCTCAGAAAACAACCCCCCAACAGGCCAATGGAAAGCTCGGGTGCAAGCCTAGCCCAGGGCAGGGCCAATATGCTAATGATCTCCAAGATGCTGCTGATATGCCAGTGGGCCAGTGGACCAACCTACAAGATGTGAACCCTAAGAGAGCAAAACTGCCGCCTAACGAAAGATTACAAAATTTACACTTCTGGGAATGGTGTCTAGGAGTCTGTGCCATGCTCTGACCTCTGCGTTGGCAAGAGGACTTGAGACCCTAGCCACAGTGAACTTTAGGCACTGTCGCTAGGCTCAGACGGACGCGCCAAGTCAAAGTCCTACACTCTCAAGGGCCTCCTGGGACTTCCACCAATGCAATCATCCCAGCCTGCTATGGCTCAAGATTTTCACTGAATACCTGGGTCCAGCCCGCACACTTTCGAAGCATCATCGTCATAAACGATTCCCCAGTGGAACCCTGCAGAAGCATTTCTGCCCAAACAACTGTTCTCCGCTTGGCGAGATGTCTGTTATTTTTTTTATATTATCATGATATAACAAATGTCTGTGTGAATAATCTGAGCGCATGCGAAAGACAAATCTTCCCGGGACATCCTAATTGCGCCTTACCACCTTTAGGCCCGTGCTCTCCCCACGACAACTCATTTATAAAATTCAATTCAATGTACTCAACAGCAAAAACAATGTAAGTAACGACATTAAAACTTTTCAGCATTTAAAGGCAAAACAGGGTTTATAACCACATTTAAAGAGGAAAACCAAAACAAAACCACACGCTTATGATCATAAACCCGTAAGACAACAAAGACAAAACAGGCCAGCCCGGAAAACATGCATACAGGTAGGTAACATTACATGGACCCAGCAGGTTATATCTAGGGATAAACACACACACATACATGTATATACACACACGCGTGCAACTGTTATGGGCGACAAAGGAACCACTGGATTTCGAGGTTATATCTAGGGATGTGTATGTGTAGAAACATACGCATGCAACTGTTATTGGCGAAAAAGGAACCAATGAATTTCAAAGCGAGTAGGGAGGTGTGTACAGGAAGGGTTCGGAGGGAGTAAAGGGGAAGGGAGAAATGCAGTTAAGTTATAACCCCAAAATTAAGCAACAAGTGCACGTGACTGTAAGTAGTTTTCTTCCCTGTAAGGGCTTTGCACTTTTCAAATAGTTTCCCTAACATCTTAAGATGCCTGCAACAAGCAGGGGATTTAACTCTAGGGAGCGCAAGCGGATGTTTCTG